TTTTTTTTCTAAAACCGAAGGATACATTTTCTTTATGTATAAAATTTGAAGAAGGCGTAATTTGCTACTAACCGAGAACAGGAAAGAATTTTTTCGTTTATGTTTTCTATAACATATATTTGAATTCATAAAGGCAGTCACAATCGATGATAAAAATGCATGCTATTTAAGTAGCCATTTTTTACGTTACGTTTTTTTTGTTAGCGGGCTGAACGATGCTAGTTTAAAAGCCGGCATCCTATCGTGACTGAAATGACTTGAGAATACACTAAACGATAATCAGTTTTACAACCTTAGTCAATGCCGATTAGCGAGTGCCTATCAATTTTTGGCAGATGTAGCATGTTGCACGAATTCGAGGCCGTACTGTACATTTCCCACTTCAACTCGGCTATTGGCATTCAAATAGCGTGACCTTTTGCCTGTCAGTATTTGTGGTTCCCTAGCTACCTTAAAACCTTTTTTTTCTAAAAGCACTAGCGGGCCTGTAACTTAACTTTTTATATAGTTGACTCCCGCTTATTCGCTGTTCAGTTTTCCAAAATAGTCGCTGGTTATTTTCATTTGCTTTTGCGGCAAAATACAATGTTCGATATAAAAAAACGGAATTTTAACACAGCAAGATACTAAAAAACGTGCTTTTTCTTCAAAAAAATCAATTTTACCAAACCCTTCGCAAATTCCAAGCCCCAAGTTCCCTAGAAAGAAAATGTGGTTCGTTAAAGTGAACTACCTAGAGGCAATGCTACTAATTGCAAGTAGACTGAAATTGTAGTGCAGTGTTTTAGGATGACAATATAAGGTATATTATATGTTTTAACATTAAAATATACAGTTATAAGCCTTTGTTGAGGAGTCTCCAGTGTTTGCCTATTTTAGATAGTCACGGGTAGCTGTGATCCATAACCCCTGCGAATACCGGGGATCGACATTACACCAAGCTTCCTTTTTTTGCCAACTTTACTTTTCCTTATCGTTACATTGCGCTTAGTCATAGATAAAATTACCTTCCTTCTGTTCTCTTTGAAGATGGCTTGCCATTCTCCTCGAAACCGTTGGTAATGTTCTAACGGGATTGGTTGCTTTCGCTTCGGTCGCATCCAAGGGTCAGTTGTCAGCGGGTTTCGCCGGTCTGGTTGTGAGTTACGCCCTGAATCTAACCCAGACCCTCAATTGGTTAGTTCGACAGACGGCCGAGTTGGAGTCAAACATAGTGTGCCTTGAACGCATAAAGGAGTATTCGGAGTTGACGCCTGAGGTTAGTGGAGAATTAACGAGCTCTCTACCCGTTGTTGACGTTGTATTACAGTAATAAGTAGGTGGTATATTAACATATTTCTGTTTGCTTTTAAGGCTCCCTGGGAAGGAGAGGAAAAACCGGCCGTTGATTGGCCACAAGGTGGTATCGAATTCGTTAATTACGGAACGCGGTACCGACCAGATCTGGACCTTGTGCTCAGCTCCATTACCTGTTCCATAAAATCAGGCGAAAAGGTTTTTTTTCTTATTTTTTTCTTTAGCATTATAAATTCCATGTTTATTCGCAACTTACTATCTGACTACTACATCTGGGTTTCCACTTTTCTCGTAGATTGGCATCGTCGGAAGAACTGGGTCTGGGAAGTCCTCGATGGTATTGGGTCTATTTCGCGTACTCGAGCCGGCGACTGGGCGTATTATCATTGATGGCCTTGACATCTCTAACCTTGGCCTTCACGACCTCAGAGGTCGAATTACCCTCATTCCTCAGGTTAGTGATTGTGTTCCTGAGTTGACTCTGGATTACTGACTTCAATATATGACATCTTAATTTGCTTCTGACGGCTATTTCCACCCAAATGCATTTAATATGTGCCCTAATTGATGGAATATAACTTAATTAACGAAAGGGCACTAATTAATAGAAATCTTCGGTAACAGTTTAATTTAGGTCACGCAAAAACCCCATCCTCCTGTAATACGGGACGGATCATACTGATAATAATAAAGGTTAAATGGGTGAGGCGTATCAGAAGAAAGAAAAAATGTAAAAAATAGAACGCATAAAAGAAGATAATGATAGGAATAATTAGTTAAATGGCCAAGTAACCCAATATTTGCGCACGATAGTTAAAGTGGCCCAATAGCGCCCAATTGGACACGATCGTCGATCCTATATCCTCTCTGTAGAGATAAAGAAACGTGAGTTTTAGAAGGACTTAACCCCTCTTATGGGGATAACTTGCCACATGAAACGGCATAAGTACAGTAACGCTTAAAACTGTTATTCACATATAATTTCGGTAAATATCCTCCAAGAATTTGCGTTATGTGCGTAATTGTCGGTAATAGGTTTCATGAATGTTTCTTTGGAATGTGGTATAATCTTTCCGCTCTTGTATTGTTCGAGATTTAAGTAATTAAAGCAAATGTGGTTTGTTTGGTATCCGATGGTAAAGTGGTCAGCTGGGTAAACGTTCGCATACCGTTCACTGACTAATTGCTTCCGATAGAATTAGTCATTGCAAATGTCGCCATAATATTTTCTGCGAATCAAGAGGGATTTTCTTCAGTGCAATTACTGTGTAAGTTATTGGATGTAATTCAAATGTCAGTGAATATTTTGCGGTTTTAAGTATTCTTAATAGGCTATCCAAAAATATATTCTGTGGGGAGATAGATCCACCGTAGGGAGATTGGTGTAGCAGACCTTGGCCGCCATGAGTGCGGCTGGGAATGCGACGAAGACGCGTCTGCTGTGGTTCCCGTCTCAAGCGGCAGTGGCCGCTGGCGAAGCCAGGGCTATTGCTGACTGCATCCAGTCAGACCCGAGAGAGCACGAGACGGGGTCGCAGTTGCTAGGATTGTGGAGCAGGTTCAAGTTTGCTCCAATTGGTGCGTATGACATTATCCGAGGGGTCTCTTGTCTAGTGACGTAGGCTGCGTCGGCCGAGAGTGGGGAAAAGAAGCTTATTCAACTGGTGCTTTGGTAGCGGCGGTTACCTGGACGCAATTGCCTGTGTTCGAGTGGAAGTCGGTCAAGATCATCACGTCTGAAAGCGTTGACTGAGATAGTGGGTGACCCTGAGGCGGTTGGTCTTAAACAAGGAAGGCGGACACAGCTAAGTTGGGCGTCGGCTACAGGCTCACTCTCGAACTCCGCCAACAACCACATAGCGGCCAGTGTTTTAGGCAGATAGACGCTGCGGACAAAATTTCCCTTTTCTTTTACAGAAGGGTGTACCTGCCCTAGAGGTTTCGTGACGTGCTGGGCTTCCAAGCGGTTTTCACTATCGTCACGCCCACTTATGGGCTCCCTGGCGATTTTCCCTGACATCGTTTTTGCAGCTGAAGTGAAAAAGAGGGCACGCTTTGGTGCGTATCATTTTCATCACGCACAATTATTGTAAATTCGAGAAAGTTTTACAGAAGTGACGGTTTTTGGTTGTCTGAAACATTGAACGTTCGTTGGATGAAACAGCCACTTTGTACATCAGTAAGTCCCAGCCAGTTGAGGAAGAAACTAGTCTTGTGCACCTGTCAGAAGCCATAAAATAGCACCACTGATGACTTTGTGGACTTCACTAGCCAGTTTTCGGCAGATATAACTTCATGAGTTAAATTTTTACTTTCTTTTGGCCCTAAGTGGGCCGATTTTTCTAAATATTACTTCCCTACCCCTCTCTTGCATAGACGCTGAGACTATGTCTTATGCCCTTTGATATATTTTGAGGTGAGATAGATAATTTAAGTCTGGAAAAGCTAGTAGGCACTCATTGATTAACGTCTAATGCTTAATGGTTAGAGCTTTAGACCTCTGATCAAAAGGTCGTGGGTTCGAGCCTCGGAGGGGCACCACTTGGGGGTTAGGTATGACAGGTTGATGACGGCTTATGAGTCAGAAATGGCCATTCCCGTCTCCCTTGTTTTACCGTCAATGATATCTGCTTAAATATAGTAGGCTTATTCTTTTGGTGAGATTGACTTGTGACAACGTCTTAAACAGAAGATATTACTCAGCCCGTTTAGTTAGTTTGGAATATGGTGCGGTCTCGTATCCGGCTATTGGGCTTCCACCCCATTTCTTCGAAGTATTCTGTACTCTGACCACAAACCCCCTCTTTGGTTTGTGTCGGTTGCGCTTGTGTGCGAGTTAATTATGCCCTGTCTCGTACGACGACAATGCATTTTCGATGTCCGGAGCTTACCTTCGAACTCGACTTTCTGCGTGTGCAGCTGCAATCCAAATGGCTTTGATCTTATTTTTGTTGGTTTCGAGTTTATTTGGCATAATTTATGAGTCGGCCGGTCCCCCTTCTACTTCCGCGCTTATGACCTAGTGTTTACGCACAGTTTATGTGCTGATTGCCGTCGCGGTCCTTTCCCTTCCCCACCTCCTCCCCCTCCCATTAACAGGCTACGGCTCTAATAGTCGCCTCTATTCTATTGTTTCGGTTAATTTTGCCTGTTGATGTGATTTGGTGTCTACCCAGACTTCAGACGCTGGCTACCGCCCGGCATACGTCATTCCTTTTGTTGGATGTATGAGCGTTAACTTATGCGTTGGTCTGAGACAAAGCACCGTCTGCCTTGCCTCCCTCCACACAGTTCTCATTTACACAAAACCGACGTTAATGAGCTTCGTTGGGTTTTTACATTAATCATGTTCGTTAGCGTACTTTCGACGGTTAATGGGACTACCGGTCGGTCGGTCTGTTTACTAGATGTCTCGCCCAATTATGTATAAGTTTATCA